TGCCTAAGGTTTCTTCTGTGGTCTTTCCTCTCTTTCCTCCCTTGGAATGATCATCAAGCTAGCTACGTTGCTAAATGATGGAATGACTGATGACTGACTGACTCTCTACCAACTGTTGACTGACCAATAGACTGAAATATCTACATTCTATTTTGACTTAGCTTCGCCTTGGATAAATGGAATACTCCCTGAATCACCGTGGGAGACTACTTTAATGACACCACTTGAAGTAGTCAATATTTGTGTAGTATAGGCTATTCAAAGAGTCGCTGTTACTGCCCTGGCATCACACACAAGGGCGGATAATTAAAATTGACATGTGGGTGCATTCAGGAAGTCTGCAACACTCTGTGTAGCATGCATGCACCCCCCGTCCACAAGCACGGTGCTGCTACAGGTCACTAATTCTGGTCACTGGGCACATGTAGGCACGTGTGTGCTATTCTCTAGTGGGTAATTCCAGAAATTAGTGGTCCAAAAGTGTGACGTTTGTGTGTCCCTGTTACATCTGGCCTTTGTTATTTGACATGGAAATACCACCGGAAATTGATTTCAAACTATTACTATTTATTTGGAAGGTAATGTGCATTAATAAGTCATTACTGTTTGACAAAATTATGTGTCACATGTGACAGGGACACCAAAAAAGGGACCCTTAATTCCTGGAATTACCCTAGTGTAAGCATTACTTTTGGACCTAGTCTAATCTACTTTATTCAATAGAGATGGAAAGCCTTGCATATCGCAGCATGCATCAGGGCAAGGTTGAATGACTCCACCATAAGCTGGGCATCCATCAGTATTTAAAAAAAGTAAACTTTTATCTCTGGTTCAGGTACTCACCAGGGCCAGCTTTAAAAGCAAGAGTCTTCACATAAGTAGAGGTGGTGATAGTTGTGGGTATTCATGGAGAATAAAACTACTGTCTTTGTGCCCTGTACTTTCATAGGCTTTCAGAAGTTCATGCCGGTAGCCCATCACAAGGAGTGCCCCATACAAATTTTATTTCACATGTATGAGTTAGTATTGTTCCTTGGTAACCATCGTTTCTCGTATATCTTCTTCTAAAAGGCAACACTGAAGCAAGAAGGTTTGGTTGGTCAGTACAAAGCACAACGGGCTGCAGCCAGGAGACCAGATATTGAAACAGAAAAGCCAACAGAGAAACCACCCAATGGGGATTCTGCAAAACCAGGGAAGGCCAAAGGTCATACGGCAACCCAAGTCAAACCAAAAGGTATTAAGGCAATCAATTTTAATGGCGTGACAAAGTGGTCCTAGATTGCACTTGTAAAAACTTTGCTTTGAAAATTAAGTTGATTGGTGGACCAAATAATAGGAGAACTTCTGAAAGTCTTCAGGGCGACAAACGTACCTGTCCTGCGTGATCTGTCCACCATTGTTTGCGTCTTTTCAGCCCAAGCACATTAGCTCCAACATTATGCAAACAAAAGTGGATCTGTCAACTTGGACTAGTATCTTTGTTGCTTCCAAACATCTCAGAAGACTTCCATTTCATGCTTGCGCCCAAAACCAAGCTGTCAGTTGTTGGAACATGTCGGGGTTTGAAACTTTTTACATCTTCCCTATTGACTTTTGGTATGATCATTGATGAGACTAATGTAGACCTTATGCATGAAGGCAGAGTCAGAGACTATTCTTGGTTATTTCAATTTAGTTACAATGTATGTATGAAAGATTTTCTTTAGCCAATCCTAGAGGTTGAAAGAAATCCCCTCTAACGTGACATCATATTCATAAGGTCTGTTGTGTGGGTAGATTCACTTATAGTATCATTTTGAAGGAGGTGGATTTGTTTTCTTTGTTAACACAGTTCCCTTGAGTGCAATCCTTACTGAACTTCAGTCACTCACAGCGCAAGTTCTGGAAGCTGAAGATACTGAACACAGTGATGTCGAGGACACTGACAAAGGGTAGATGTTTCTTCTCAAAGAAGGTTTGCGTGTATGTGTAATTATGTCATAGGAGACTTAAAGAGTACGAAGTCTCCAATTTCTTGACAGTCCAGTCAAATTGGGTCGATTCATGTTGAAAAATTTAATGAAGAAAAAAATGTTGAAGTACAAGATCTTGTTTCAACCCAAACACGTGGAATGCCCTGCTTGCAGCCCTTTGACAATGAAATAAAAATGTATTTCTCTGTTTTAAAAAAAAAATTCTGTCTGCCATTTTGTGTCTTTCATTGAAGTCCTTATTCTTGGTTTCTCTTGCTAACTGCAATTAACACAAATAACTGAAAACAGAATTCAGCAGAAAATGTAATCAAAAGCACTCAGCTCAGGTTTTGGAATCGAAAATATCTTGTGCCTTGAACCAACCCTTTTTTTTTATACCAGACTGGTAGACATCAATGTTGCTATGGTAACATTGTTACAAGTGACAGTTGATTTCTCAGAAGGGTACCGGTGCATGTAATGCCGATAGCTACCATTCTGCTGTCTTAGACTGCAGTGGGTGTGGATCCTGTCTTGAAAATCAACCTTTCTGGGTGTTTGGCCAGTATGGTTGTTTTATCCTTCACCGATGAGACAGGGTTTCCAGTCCTCTATTATTTTAAGCAAACATGTCATTACGAATGGAACAGCAAAACACTGAACACACCTGTTAAACGGGGCATTGGTCATGACATCCAGCCCCACAGTGTGGGGGCGCTGTTCACTGTAAGCCGCTTGTTGGGATGAAGATTTTTTTCCACCGTATTTGAAATCCCATCATAAACAAGGGAAATGCGTCTCTCATCTTGCCTTTTTGTTGTGTCTTGATTCACTGAGAGGGAAAATAACCACTTTGACTAAGCAGACAGCATTCGTAAGAACATGGAGTGTCCATTCACATCGTGAAGCCATTAATAAATGATACTTAATAGGAATACAGAAAGGCTACCTTAGGGCTCACATAATGTAAGCTCGCAGGTAGTGTCAGTCAAATTAAAAGGGCCTCAAACATTCTCCTTAAAAAGTTAATCCAAGGATGGTATTTAAAATAGCATGTACAAGACATCATGACATGAAATATACACATAGAAATGGACTCATTTGTCATTCGAGTCATTTTTGTGTTGTAGTCCAATTGGATATACATGTGCCCGGCTTGTTGAGACGAGTCGGAAAGAAATAACAAAAGTTCAGTCATAAGTTTACAATCTGGAATGAAGTCCACAAGAAGAAGCTTTGTTTTATTTACCGTATAGTCATAGGCCAGAAAACAAAAACAACAAATGCAGTCGCTGTTTCAGGGTTGTGCAGGCAAAATAAGCTAAGTTTTGTTACGTTTTTCCTTTGTCATTCCAGCTGTAAAATATCCCGAAGTTAATTAAATCTCTGATTTAAAAAAGTAACTGAAATTAAACTAGGAAAATATCTCTCAACGAAGTGGGGATTAGGGTGTTCCTTGAAGGTTGTATCGTGTGTTATCGTCCGGTCACCAGGAACTTCACTGATCAATGCCAGTGTAGCGTCACTATGTCATTGTGGGTCATGCTTCGTGCCATATATGGTGTTTTTTTCTCATAGTTATTACTGCTGACTTTGTAATGGATCCCCTTGGGGCACGATTTTGCTTGATGTTTTGCCTGGAGTGTACTTTGCCTGCCGCCCTTTTCTTTAAGTCCCTGGCAAACTTTATCTTTCTTTTATATCTTGGAATGGATCCACCCTGTGATGGGAACTTGACTTCATGATGGCTTGGTTCCACACTCTCACTGACTCGCAACTTGTTTAATAATTCCAAAGTTGCAAAGACTGGACTCCATGCTTGAAGCGCTTATGTTGAAGACCATTGAGAATTTCTGTTTTTGGTCCAATTTGGCCATCGCTGCTGATGTGTGGCAGATGCACTTCAACTACATGTTCATGCATCCTTTGCTGACCACCGACTTTGGCTCGGCCGATCTTGCCCTGTTCCTAAAACAGGCTGCAGCAGGCCCGATGCCCTCTGGAGAAAAGATCAAACTAACACTTGTTCCTGTAGCGAAGGACAATCTTGCTCTCCGCCCAGAGGAGTTCCTCGTCCCCAGATATTTGCTCTCGGGAAGATTAGACCTCACAGGAGAGGCATTTTATACTGGACCTTGGGTCTTTTCTCTATTCCAGCTACCAGGATTCCTGTTGGTTGAGGTTTGCCTTTAATCAACTTCTCCGGCAATTTTTCCCCGGAGCCATTCTGTACTGGTCTTGGACTTTCGGCGTAACCTAAGGGGGACGGGCTATATATCCCCTCAATTTTTGCTCAGGGATCATTCGATCGACAACCCACTTTTCGGGGGTGCCAAAATACCTCGCATGTTTTAACTTAGTTTATAAAATTGCATTGAAAATAGGGAACAACCACTACAGAAAAGATGCGTTCTCATTTATGGTTAAGGCACGTAAGCAAGGGGTGTACAAATGGTATACCTTTACGAGCTTCCGTTTTGGGAATTTCTGTTTCCGGGCAATTTTTAAATGTTTTCATCCTCAATCCACTTACAGGCTTGGAGTTACACCACGCTCTTTGACATTTTACTTCTTATTAGCAGTGTTTTCTCAACTTGGGCTCATATTGCATACTCATTTTCTCTGCAATGTGCTGCAGAAGGATTCATTACTTCACCACATCTGACTTTGGTATTTGAAATTGCCTTGAAGGTACAATTTCACAGGAATAACACATGGGAAGTTGACAGTACTCTTCGCCCATATTGAGAACCTCTACCTGATATGCGCTTAGTCGTCAACAAAATACTGAACTGCAAAGATCACTTGCATCTTTTTACTTGGATATGAGGTATAATGGAGCCCTCTGAATCAGTGTAGCATTTTTTTCTACAGTCCAAAACACCGAAGTTTTCCCAAAACAAAGGTTTTCCCTGCGGCAGCAATCGTTCTAAGAAAATCTGGGAACACTCTGGGACTACCGCACTAAAGCTTCTGCTGTTTGCAATCACACTAGGCCTGCTGTTTTCATGACTTCAGGAAAGAAGATCTCTGCTATCTGATAACGTTCTTCTGTTTCGATGAGTAAGTAGCCTTCTGTCCTACCGTTGGTTTCAGTTAAAGATGGATAGTCTTTATCTCGCCATCAAGGGGTTGGCAATGGACAAAGTTGGGCGCGTTTTGCCAGAGGATACTGGATGGAGGGAATCACCACTGGACACTGACACGCTGATTATCTTGGGAAGTTGGTTGATGTTCTGCACTTTATTTCCATGTGCGAGTCGCTTGATACATTTCTGAAGTTGGAACTCGGTATTCGTCCACTCTAAGGACTCTCTTCAAAGGGAAAGGGTTGCACCTGGAGAGTGAAAACTCTAAATTTGGATCGAGTACACAGGGCACATTTCCTTGCACCATTACACGCAGCTCCGTTACAGAATACGCCTTAATTATCAGGAGGGAACTGTCATTATCAAAGGATGCTATCCTTAGGCATGAATCGAGATCGAGTGCACAGTTTAAGGGGGAGAGGAAGTTAAATGACATGGGGATGCAAGGTACTTCTCTCGTATTTTTACCTCGCCTTGGCCACCGCCGGAGTATCTGTTAACAATCGTCTCACTGTGCTTCATTGAAGACACCGAGTTGTGTCTTCTTTTCAGCTGAAGGAGCGCAAATTTTCTTCACCTCCAGTTTCCTCAGGTTGTGCTAAACTATTTTAAGCTACTTTGGCATGGCCAAATTCCTCTCTCCATGAAGCAATGGTGGTGGTCTTAACCTTGCACCCAATATTCGGCGAGGGTGCAATATTCCAAATTCTCAGTTTAGAGACTAGAATTTAAGGTGTAGCCAAATAAGTTTTATGTTCTCACGAGAATTTTTTGTCATAATTCCATAGTGAATTGGATGCATTACATAAATCTGAGGACCATAAACCAGTCTTGGTTGACCAAATTTAAAATGACATCCGATTTTAAGCAAAAAGAGCTAATGTCAATTTACACAATCTTCTTACAATGTACAGAAAAGTTGTCTCCTGATATGATAAATGCAGTTACACTGCGAGATCTCTCAAGTCCTGCAGAAATAACATGGCGACATAACCCTCATACCGTAGCTCAAATGCTGATAACCTTGATCCGGATCCTACAAATTGCTTTCACAACCAGTATGAGAATAAGTTGGAAATGGAACAGTCAGTAACAGCACAACTGCTCTCAATTTGAATTTTGTTCATTGCAGGAACAGTGATTGTAAAAAATAAATCAGGCAAAAATCAAGCAAATTCAGTTTATTTATAGTTTATTTTAGTTATCAGACGGTGAAAACTCGCATAGATTCCTCCCAGCTCCGTAGATTCCTCCCAGTTGCAGGTAGTTCACAGATAGGTAGTTCCTGTAAGTATTAGCTTTGCTAACCCATGACAACTCTACAGGTCTATACGAACAAAATGCACTCAACAAATGGGAGACTTTGACAGAATTGATGGCAATACATGTACCGCTCTCATGACAGAAGTTAATGTTTAGGCTATGTACCGCTCTCATGACAGAAGTTAATGTTTAGGCTATGTCATGTTTTTTACGCAATATGGGCCTTTCACAATAGTGGGCCTCCAAGTGTTTGCAATACGTTGACCAATCTCAGAGCGCGAAATCTGTCGACCCTTTCCAAACACGTACTGGGTCGACAGATTTTGTGCATTGTGATTGGCCAACGCATTGCAAACTATCTCAGGAGGTGCGCTGTTGTGAACCGCCCGTATTACAAATTCATGAAATTTGAAAGGAAGCTTGATCAACACGTGGACTACACATGTAAAAACATGTGTCCCTTTTCCCATGAAAACTCAATGTTAGGTGAAAAAAGTTACGGTTTTAAAACCACAATTTTAATAGTTCCCAACATGTAATTTGAATTTTTAAACAACAAAAATCCTTACATTAAACGTCAAACTTTCACTGTGAATTGAAGTGATCAGTTAACTTTTATAGCCCAATCGCCATTTATTTAACCTTACAAAAGTTTGTTTACTTTCGTCGCTCAAACCGCCAGAAAAAAAACAAAAGTGGGCATCGACATTTTTGAAGCGCATGCGCACTAACTAAATTTCTGCGACGTACGTGCGCCCTGCAGGTACTACGTCGTTCAAGTCCATGACCAATACCTACGGAAGCCGGATAGTGCCAAGGGATAGCATTCTCACTGTTTTGAACCGCTCGTGTACATTTTTTGACACCATCATCTGGCAGCCGCCAGTTAATTATGTGGCGGCCGCCAATTAACTAACGGACGTTGGCGGCCGCCAAATAATTAACTGACGGTCACCAAATAATAAGTGGGGGTGTAAACGGTAAAACTCTCCCCTCGGTGAATCCGTCTTGCATTTACCGGATTGCACCGGCGTCCCTGATAAAGGTTTCTCCGATAAAAATGTTCACCTAGGTCAATCTGACCCCCTCCAGGTAATTTTGTCCCCTGCCCAGAGGTGCTATGTGCTATGTCACAATTAAGTCTATCACCCGTACCCTGACTTCGACTGATCCGCGCAACGTATGGACAGACACCGTGCTTCTTCTGGAATGCTAGTGACGCCAGAAACTGGCGATTTCATGAGGGCTATCCATTTATTATGTGGTGGCTGCCAGATAATTATCTGGGAGCCAACACATGCTGTCAAATAAATGTACACGCGCTGTTCAAAAGCAGAAGTTCGCATGCTATACCTGGCCCTTGGCACTATCCGGCTTCCGTAAATACCAGGAAATAAAACTGCCGATGTTAGCGTGACTAGTTTTCCACTGAGGAGGTGACCAGATCACAAATTTTAAGTGCCTTCGTCGTTGATTCATTACGAAACATGTCGTCAATGTTAGCATCCGAGAACCTAAAAATTACCTAGACAGCGATGCAACCCTCGAGTTACCCTCAAACCAATTAGTACCAAGCTGAACGGCAGCATATCACGAACTTGCAATTTAAGAGTTGCTTAGCGGTTGCATTGCGGAGGGAATCCCGCCTTCGACACTCGAGACAACGGGGAATACTGCACAAGCATGTACGTATATTGCTCATGTAATATAATTTTATATAGATACTCAATTATTTGATAGAGATACCATTGCAAAAGTTACAAATTGTTTATAGTTCACGAAGAGATGTCTGAAAGGAGAAAACAATCTAGAGAATGGGTGGCTGTTAATAACAGCTCCGGTATGTTAATAAATGGTGTAACTTATTGTGGTACTACTACTGGTATTTGTATATAGGCCCATTTTATGTTCAGCTATCGCCAAATCTGAGCAGAAGGTAAACATGTTTGTATCGTTCTGATGTTATCGGCTTTGCATCTTTTTCACAGTTGACAATCAAAATTTCATGAACAATATTATGGGAATCTTGCTTTTCCCAGTTGGGACTTTTAAGGCAAAAGGCTAATGCAATTTTGCAACTGCAAAAAAGGTTTCGGGATCTTGCCTGATGCTTTAGAAATTGGCAATAATTGCATATTTAAAATTAGGACAAGTGTATGTGTCATGAATTTGCAATGCGGCACTTTCTTAAAAATACGGGTCATGAAATTATTTTCGTCATATTGCCTTCTCAGTCTTTAGAGTGTAAAGTTACTGATTCTCTAAATTCCTTCCGCTAACAAAACTCGGACACTATTCTGATCCCAGCATTTGCCTATCTAGGCTGACTAACTCGCCGAGTGTCCAAAAAGAGGAAGGGGCCTACTCTGTTCAAAAGCAGATACACCACTAGTAGATTGCCGTCACATGCAGACGGCTTATATACAACGTATATACTACTGAGTCCGCGAAATCATTGATCAGTTTGCTTGTGATGGTGGACTCATGGACTGGTGCACTTTTTAGCACAGTGCACATGGTATTTAGAACTAGTGGGTTTTGTGATCGTGACCCTAAAGGTCAGCAAACCTATACGAGCGTTAGCAGTGTATGCAACAGTAGTGTCGTTCATGTGTTCTGGGCTGTATCCTATGTTCAGTTAAGGTACGGGGACTCGGAGGGTTCAGACAAGTGAGTTTTGTAATCGTGACCTTAAGGTCAGCAAACCCACATACTGACGCTAGTCGGTGTTAGAAAATTCTATGTAAGTGGCGTTCATGTGTTCACGCAAATCCATTGCGACTTTGCGACTGCTGAATATTAAATTACCGACAATGGAAATTGTAAATTTACTGTTTAATATTTAAGAGAAAAATTCCCAAACAAATTAATTCTCGGACATTTTGCAATTTATTCAGTCTCTTTCAAACATAAAGTGTTCAACTTAGATCTGGTGAACCATGAAACAAAAGCAGGATAGATTTTTCTCGAATAGGTGTTTTCATTTTTCTTTTTTCCCTCATTTTAACAAGCGACAGAAAGTGACCACGACTTTGCCGAAGTTTAGCGCATGCGCACAAAGTGGAAGCGGTGAACATACGTGTTGAGCCAAACCGAGGCTTGCGGTCGGTTGACTTGACGGCGCTCTGTTGGAGCTTCTTGATGAATTATTTTGCTAGAGTTGGTGAAAAGGAGATGGGTGTTGGAATTGTCACTTCACTGCTAGAACAACATGATTCCTACTGCCTCCGGAAACTATCATTTTGCATGAGTTGCTGCTCAATTCTAGTGGTCGTATAGGTGACCACTTTCGAGTCTGAAACCTACGCTGGTGACCAACTATGAAGCATTCTCCGGCCCCCTCCTCCTTGTCTTTACCAGTGACATTGATTTCATCAGACACAGTGAAGCGGCCACCTATGCTGACGACATCACTTTGTATAATTAGTTCAAATGTGAGGATGGCTCAGAGGTGTATAGAGAACAGGTCACACCACAATTTCATATCGATTTGAAAGCTTCCCCTGCTTGGGAAAGCAGTTGTAAGTGGTCTTTGAGGCTTCCATCATGGCACAGATTATGGTTATATTTAGGATCACCAACCGAAACCATCCTCCCCTCTATTTTGATGGCCACGTCGTGGAGGAAACTAGTGAACTTGAGCTTCTTACGGTTTATACTTTTACCTAATCTCTAAGCTTGAAGAAACACACCCAGTCAGTGGGTAAATTAGCCAGCCATAAATTATTCATTCTCAACGGAGCAACATTGACTATGAGACTGGACTCTTCAAATCATTCGTAAAAAGATAGAGTGTTCTCTCCTGTGCTTGATCAGTGCATGTGATCATCTGCCTAGATATTATCAATCACATCCTAGAGAAATGTAGGACAATTATTGGTAGTTGTTTCTGTTGACGAAGTTGCATACAACCTTCAACCCCTTCGTCATCGGCGTATGGTTAGTGCCGTGGCGTGCATTTACAAAATGGTAGCATTTAATGCTCTTGGATTCATGTCTGTTAGTTCTGAAAAGCCCTCTTCCAGCATGTGCTGTCATTCCTTACCACTATAGAGTTAAGCAGCCGTTCCCTCGCAGCACTGCACCCCTTCCCTCCAACTTCCCCTCTCCCCTTTCTGCAGTGGTCGGTCAGATGAGCAAAGTTCATTCCCAAAGAGAAGACCTTTGTTTTCTCACAGGACAGGGGTTGGTGGCTGGAAGACTCCTGTAGTTTTATTCTTTTCTGTTTTGTTTTCGTTGGGAACAGGATTTTATGGGGTATGTGAACATGTGTTCTTCAATCGATTGATTAAACACGTACTTGTTATTCCTTAATTACTGAAAATCACTCAGTTTGTCATGTAAAGCAGGCTGTGCTTACTGTGACATCGTGCTCCAACCTAATTTAAATTCCACTTGGTAGTAGAACGGTGTTTGGGACCAACAAACGGAATTTCACAGCTTTATTTTGGTTTGGCGAGGTCTGATGGCTGCCTCTGCATACAATTTCAAACACCCTTGTCCAGGCAGATTTCGTTAGATCGTGCCTCTATCGTGCCGAGCTAAATTCAAATTGATTTGACAAGGAATACCTCGTGCTATGTCCAGAAAGAGTATTATGACACCTGTGTTGTTGAAAACACTGCAAGCCCCATCACCTTGTACATGGAAGCTCCCTCAAAAGTGATCACGCTTCAAAATGGTCATTTTTGAACTTGCATTAGTTAATTTTTTTTCGATTCAGGGGAAGTACTATACCCTGGCGTGTTAAAGTATTCTCAAACCGATTTTAACCCCAGGCGTGCACTTTCGATTAAATACCCCAAATTTTCCAACAGGCCTGGCAACATGCCTCTTTCAAAACATTTAATACCATTTAAATTATACACGGTCACGGAAGATCCTGGAAAAATATCCCGGAAAGTCAATGAAAGTCATGTATAATGACGGGCGAACGGGGGTTTCCTATTATCAAAGAAATGAAGATCATGCAGATATTATTTTCGATTGGTTGCATTCGATGTGGTAACGTAGCAATGATAAATTTATAGGCTATTCTTGTCATTTTATACAGAGTACTGGCTCTGGCAGACTTCTTTTTAGTCCCGGAAAGTCCCACAAAAGTATTGAAATTTGGTTTTCAGAAATCTGCAGGGACCCATACTTGTTTTAGACCCGATGATACAGAAATGTCACTTATAAATAACATTTCTCATAGGAGGCAAAACATCGTAGATTGGGGTGCAAAGTGTCGAATGCTTTAAAGAGGAGGACAAATACACATTTACATGTATGAAGCTTCAGTTACATTTCGAACACTGGAAACCATTCAACAAATAATAAAAACACTACTGTTGGTCTCTAGCTATAATGTTTCAACGTTCACTGACAACAAAGGAGACATCAAAGCTCCCAAATCACGGCGATGCCGAGAAGATGAGGCCCGAGCCTGTAGTTGCATCTGGAAAAGGCACTAAAACACATTCTGCCGGCGATGCTGGCACCAGGTCAAGTCAGATCACTCAAAGGTATGGAGTTGGATCAAAGGAGGAAACTGGCAGTTGCTCTTTGGATGCTGATACTTCCAACCAGCTGTCTGCTAGTGCATGTGAGTATAATTGCTAGCGACATGTTCGAAAGGCCTATTAACCCCCAAGAAGTATTTCTGCTGACCAGAGTGAATACATGTAGTTTGTTTCGATAAGTATCGTCCAACCTAAATATCAATTATCGACAGCAATAGTGAATTAATAATATAAAAGGCCCTTTTAATTCAGTTGATGCTGAAATCATTTTAATCCCTTCATAGAATTTTAGGGCCCTAACACTAACGAATTCAGTGCAACGGGGTCTTCTGTTTCGTTTCCAATCCGTAGCACTACCTGCTTTAGATAACTTGTTTCTGTACACGCTCGCAACTCAACTCAGTGGTGGTGAGTGGGAAGCGCTCGCTATACATCTTGACTTTACTGACGCAGTTATTCAGAGATTCAAGAGCGATTACCAAGGGTTTGTTGTAAAGCAAGCCTACCAGATGCTTCTGAAATGGACTCAAGGACATCCCGATGGCGTAGATCAGCAAGCTGAACAATTAGTTGCAGCTCTACGATCCAATGAAGTCGGAAGAATCGATTTGGCTAAAAAAATTAAGGGTAAGGGTCTTTGACCAGTGTATTTATCAGAATAAATAAAAGTAAGTAAAAAACCAAAACAACAACAACAACAACAAATGCATAATTGAGAAACAAATATTTCCGGGGAGATTATCACGAGAGGTGATTTTATCACACCAGAATGTTTTTGAGCACGTCGTCAACTGTAACTTTATATCAGACCCATAACAAGAGCAGACCGTATGAAGTGCGTGGGGAGGCAGACGTGTCGACTCACATCCCTCCCCGTATTAAAAATCGTCGCCTCCACATCATCTCAACTAGAACATTTTAATAAAAAAGTACAATTAAGCGAAACAGACGTTTGGCTCTTCGTTGTCATACGTAATACCAGGGCACAAATGTTGACCCTCCTGGTTATGCCACTGCCTCGAACGGGACCACCATTGAGCCCTTGGATTTAAGATTAACATAATTGATCTCGCATTGTGTGAATTATTGTGTTAGTAAAGAGAAAATTGTATTGACATGACATGATAGCTAAATTTTCTTATTGATTTGGCAGAGTACCTGCACAGTTTTCTGATAGGGCCCACCCATAACAGCATTTACTGTTAAACAATTTTGAGACAGACTATCTTCATAAGCCTTTCACAAAGGCATTAACATGGCATTATGTACAATCATAAATTAAATTATAAATGTGCATTGTGGATTTGGTTACATTCATGAGATGAAAATTAATTATTTATGCCAATGCAGATCAGGTAACTTTTCCTCACGGGCACGCTAACCAAACTGACGCACTTCTCGATGAACCTGGTACGTACATGGAGTTTAATGCTTTGTTCAGTTTCATAGAGTAAAATAGTACACTTCCTTCATGAAATAAATGGAATATTCTGAACTTTTCCGACCAAATTAACTGATCCCAATCCTTGATAAAAACTTCACAGTCTCGTATCTCTGTGGGCTGTTGCCACAAACATAGAAATGATATGGATTTTCCAGGGAATCAAAAATCAGATAGAATGAAATTAATCACTCCACCATTGATGTTAAACAAATCCCATGAAAAAAGTCTGAACAAAAAAAATAGCTTGTTCAATCGATTTGCGATTACATCTATGCCAGGTGTGGATAACAAAACTCTGTTCAAGATTGCGAAACAGCTCGGTCGTGATTGGGAGGAATTAGCTATATTGCTCGAGATCACAAACGCAGCCGTGCAAAACATCAAATGTGACTACCAATATTGTGCCGCCCTGCAAGCCTACCAAATGCTGGTAAAATGGAGACGGGCCCACCCAGGCAGTGTTGAACAACAGACATCCGAGTTAAGCACAGCACTGGGAAAGATTGGAAGAGATATCGCACAAATCCTAAAAGGTAAATATAATACTCGTCTGTCAACGTCTTTCCAACTCTTAAGTTCTGACATGAACGTTTCTTCATCAAAGAATGTCTTCTGTACATCTAATCGTGGAAGTTAAATGCACACTGTTCTGTCATGGCTCGGACCTCCCGCCACTAAATTCAACCACCCGCTGCATTGTTTGAAAATTCTGAATTCTGCATCCACCCAAAGACCTCGTTCGTTAGGTCTGAACTAGCCAGTAACGGCATCACCACGCCTTCACTGTAGTCAAATGAAACATCTGTCAGAGTTCAGCCTCAATATTCTTCCGCCTTATAAATCGGATGCAGTTGGAACGAACATAAAATGTGTTAAGTCTGAAAAACAAGGTGATGTCATGATAGCAACATCATATGACATTGGAGAATTTATCTATCTTTTTTTGGGGGGGGGGCTTGTTTTATTCTCTTCGACTTTTCGAAATTTTTTGTGTTGCACCGTTGATTAAGATTTTGGTTCGGCCTTAACCCTGAAAGAGTCGGGTTATTTTTGGCTCACCTGACAGCTATGCCACAGATATGCCATGCTCAATATTTTGAAACTAGAACTGCATGTAAAGACACCCATTATCATTACAAATGTGAAATTTACACTCAATCAGATGTTAGGGTTTTATTGTTACGATCATTTGAAGTTGATGTCTGCATGCATGTCAGTCAGTGTGCATTGAGCAGCGCAGTGGAAAAAGTGTACAGTTTTGGCTAATCTGTATCGGATAAATGGGAGCTGCACGAGAACAGTATGGTTGATTATCACAAACTTGATGTCAACATGACTGCCAAGACTTATTCTAAAAACACATAAAGGCTTAGCTCCCCCCCCCCAAAAAAAAAGAAAAACGTACTGGGCGACATCGGAGAAATAGTCGGGGCAGATTCTGCCATAGTAGCGCATCCAGCTTTTGGTTGGCTGGAGGGAATTCAAAACGCACATGCACTTTCGGGCTCATTCAACATGATAATGGGGAGGAAAAACGGCCTTTTTTACAGGTATTTGATAAAAAATACACCGATTAGTATTTTCCTCACCTATAAAGTAATCTCAGTTGAAAAAAATTATTAATAGGCCTATTATATTTAAGTCCAAGTTGCCCCTGCCCCCGGATACGCCACTGTTCTGTCGCTGTCTATTTTAGGATTTAAAAATTTGGCTTGTATAATTAATGTTTTTATTTTGCAGGTCTAGAATTTGATTTGTGTAACCCAAACAACCTTCCCTGTGGATTTTCACAGTCTAATGAATTCCTTAAGAACTGCTCGTACGTGAGCGCATGCCCCAAACGAAGCGCGTGCCAGGTCATTCGGGAACAGAAATACGCACGCGCGATGTCTGCCCTATTAGCGCATCGGTTGTAACCCGACTTCCACGCGTGCCTTGTTCCCCAAGGAGCTTGCCTGAACGAAATACCGAACTGCTTCATTGTAGTGAAGCTAATTACTGTAAAATATGGCAAACGTGTCACAAAGAATACCCGTAAAAGGGTTTATGTGACCACTGAGTAAATATGTGAGTTTTCTTCCCAGACAAATCTCACCGACGAGTCGTTCTTACCTTCTCCAGTAAATGTTTTGTTTTACACAAATGTAAGTTAAGGAACTATGAGCTAAGAACGTGTAATCCAGTACGGTTATGTAACTACTTTTATTTCATGGGCGATGATCTTGAGACAAACAGTTGAAAAATGTGTTAGCGATTAATTTTTTTTTACCTGCACAGGATCCGGGGCACAATCAAATCCTGAGCAAGACGAGGAACCAGACTGTGGACCAAGCTTGAGAAGTCCCAATGAAGAAACCGGTAACAAGATCAAGGCGATTTTAATGAGAGTCTACAAGAGAACAGGTAGTTACGTACAGTTGATACCAACGGTGGATAATGATGAAATGCATATACCTGGCATTTACACAAAGGTGCAGTTAAAAACACGGGAAGGTGTTGCAGTAGTGGGTATGGGTTGCCACAACAAAGAGGAGATTGTAAATTCAACAGAGTACGCCAAAATACTGGGAGCAAAGACAAGAACTGGCGATCTTATCAAGCGGGTGATTTTCTTTGGCATGGGAGGTGTTGGGAAGTCAACCATTTTACATAAGATTGCGTACGACTGGGCTGACCAGACAAGTCAAGTGCTGGCAGCATTTAAGCTTGTTCTCGTTTTAAAGATGTTTTCCATGTTGCAAAATTCCGATCTTGTCGAATCCACTTTCAATCAACTCCTTGGCGAAGATTGTGGTGTATCAAAAGATGCCTTAGAAGCATTTATCTTGGCCAATTCGAGTGACGTCCTCATTCTTTTGGATGGTTTTGATGAAATGAGGACTAAATCGCTTGATGAAACCTCATTCGGTTCAATTCTAAAAGCACTGAATGGGAGGAGATATCGGGAATGTTTCATCTGTGTAAGTACACGCCCCTCTCACCTGGATAGACTAATGGAAAAACGGCTAATTCAAAATCCTTGTACACACGTAGAGGTTCTGGGATTTACGGAAAGCGACGTTAGAGAGTACGTCCGGAAATTTCACCAGAACATTGATGATGGTGCCGTGCTAATCGAAACTATCGAAAAATCGAGCACGTTGCGTGATTTAGCAAGGATTCCGATGCTGTTGCTTCTGATGTGTCTGCTATGGAGGGAGAGTCAACGGCTGCCAGAAACAACTTCGCGCCTCTTCAAAGGCGCAATTGATTATATTTTCTTAAGAAAAGCAAAAGTGTCAATAGAAAAAGTGTCAAAAACGGTGACTGCGATAGGCGAAACGGCGCTGCGTGGACTCATGGATGCCGACCAGAAATGTTCATTTCAAGAAGATGAGTTTGAGCCATGTGCACTCGAGTTGGCACTTGAGGCAGGCATCCTTACCCGCCAGAGAGTTTTCAAAAACCTCCAGCCCCAACATAGCATTCAATTCATGCACAAGACAATGCAGGAATACTGCGCAGCGAAATTCCTGCAGAGTTTAAATGTACCAAACCGAGGGTTGTTGCAGCTGGCGAAAAACACATTTAATTCAATTAAATTTAGTCAGATTTTGAATAAACTATGTTGTTCGATTAACAGCGTAGTTTCAAATGAGTATCTGTTTCGCTTTTGCTGTGGTGACAATGAAAAGTGTATGACTGAAATCGTTCAAAAGCTTGGACGTTGTATTAAAACGAACAAAAATCAGTCAAAGTATGATTCAAAAATCATACAAGCCATCAGTCAAAATTGCTTTTTCGAAAGCCAGTCAAGCAGCGTTCCAGCATTTCTCGACAGGGCTTCAATTATCCCGTCCAGGGTTGATGTGAGTAACGATTATGATCTTAGCCGTCTCGTGTACCTCATTGAAATAATTTGCAAGTCAGATAGTTGCAAGGAGCAACTGACACACGTTCAATCCGTGTCTCTTTCTGGGGCGTCTTTCAGCCAAGGGTTAGCAAAGGTCCTGAGCAACATGGACAATCTCGAGAGTCTCTTGCTTATTGATTGCAATTTCACGGATATTACTTTCGAGAAAGCCTTGCTGTCAATGAAGTGTAATAACGTCTTAGACGTACTCTGCATAGACGGTGATCAGACATTGGGAGGTAGAGGAGTAGAATGGGCCCCTCACATCAGACAATTGATAAACATGAGAACTTTTCAATTAAAAAGGTGCAAACTGCAGCCCACGGACATCGAACACATTGCATCTTCATTGAGTGAGATGCCAAGGCTCAATGAATTGACACTCTCAGGCAACATAGGATTGGGTGGATCAGCTGACTCTTGGTCCAAGTATTTGCTGCGAATGAAGCATGTGAAGACTCTCGACCTTAGCAATTGCTCGTTGCAAGAGGGAGACGCAAAGCACCTGTCCACCTCCTTAAATGGCATGCCTTGCCTGACTTCTTTGATTCTCGCTGATAACCAATCACTGGCCGGATCAGCCCACTCGTGGTCCAAAAATCTGCCGCGAATGGCACATATTCAAACGTTGAGCCTGCGCAATTGCTCAGTGCAGTCGACAGACATTAAACACATAGCCTGGTCTCTAGGTGATATGCCCAAATTGACTCACTTGGTACTTGCTGATAACAAAGCATTGGGTGGTTCAGCTGACTCTTGGTCCCAGTATTTGGCGCGAATGAGGTATGTGAAGACGCTCGACCTTAGCAATTGCTCCTTGCAAAAGGGAGACGTGAAACACCTGTCCACGTCGTTGAATAGCATGCCTTGTCTGACTTCATTGATTCTTGCTGAAAACAAAACATTAGGTGGATCAGCTAACTTTTGGTCTCAGTGTTTGTCGCAAATGAAGCACATTCAGACTCTAAATCTACGCTATTGTTCCTTACAATGGACAGATATTGCACACATTGCCAGGTTTGTAGGAGATATGCACGAACTGACAGAACTGATTCTTACTGACAATGCAGCATTGGGCGAAATGACATCAAAGTGGTCCTTGTACTTGTTACGAACAAACAAACACACGCTGAACCTGAGCTATTGCTCGCTGAAAACTGACGATTTCAATGACATTAGCTTTTTCATCCACCACATACCGGAAATTCGGACTCTAAATCTAAGCAAATGTTCATTGCAGCCGGCAAACGTTGAGCACATAGCCTCGATTGTAGATGACATGCCAGGACTGACGGACTTGATCCTTGCCGAAAATACATTACTTGGGGGATCGGCTAGCATGTGGTCTCGATATTTGCCGCGCATGACGCACATTCGGACTCTAAATCTCAACAAATGTTCATTACAGCCGGCAGACTTTGAGCACATAGCCTCGTCTATAGGTCGCATGCCAAGACTGACTGACTTGATCCTTGCCGAAAATACTTTACTTGGGGCATCAGCTAACATGTGGTCTCGATATTTGTCACGCATGACGCACATTCGGACTCTAAATCTCAACAAATGTTCATTACAGCCGGCAGACGTTGAGCACATTGCCTCGTCTATAGGTCATATGCCAGGACTGACTGACTTGATCCTTGCCGAAAATACATCACTTGGGGGATCAGCTAACATGTGGTCTCGATACTTGCCGCGCATGACGCACATTCGGACTCTAAATCTCAACAAATGTTCATTGCAGCCGGCAGACGTTGAGCACATAGCCTCGTCTATAGGTCACATGCCAAGACTGACCGACTTGATCCTTGCCGAAAATACATCTCTTGGGGAATTGGCTAACTTGTGGTCTCAGCATTTGCTGCGTATGACAGAAAATCGGACTCTGACTCTTGGCAAATGTTCATTGCAGCCGACAGAAGTTGAGCACATGCACACAAAAAATTGTTCGCTGGTCGTGGTGCGTAAATGTACGAAAACTCAGACAAACCCGAGTATATGAGTGGACGACGCATTCTCAATATGTCGTTTTACCCAGAAGTGTGCATTACTGTATATTTACGACTTCGTATAAGAACTGCTTACTCATTGGGTTCTTTAAGAACAGACTCAGTAAATTGAATCTTGCAGGAAGTACAGCATTAGACGAGTTGGCTAACTCTTGGTATCGTGATTTGCAAGAAATAAAACACAAGCACATACTAAACCCGAGCCTTTGCTCACTGCAGCCTAGAGACATTGAGTACATTACCTTGTCCGTGAGTGACATGCCAAGGCTGATTGTCTTGATCCTTGACGGCAATCCTGCGTTAGGCATATCGGCTTACTCGTGTTGCTACCTCAAGCGCTTATTGCATATAGATGGACGGTCTCTGCACAGTTGTGCGATGAATGATGATGATGCAGAAATGGTTGTGTTACACTTGAAAGATATCCGAAAACTGTTGTATCTTGATCTTTCTAGTACCGATATCAAATGGGAACAAAGCGATGTGTGCTATGAGCCTGAGTAGCCACGATGGTACATGGGGGGTACAGGAGTTTCATAAAAATTCGTGTGAAGTTGACGGTGTTAATATAATATTGGGCAAGTGTTTAAACAAGGATGGCTTCACAAATCTGAAGCTTTGGAGATGTCATATGTATTGCAAACGATTACGTGTAGCATAGTGACACAGGTATATCAGTTTATTACCTAAGGATGTCAGAACCACTCTTGGGAAGGACACGTCACATACTGCTCGATCTTGAGCATCAAACACTAGGGATAACCGTATTTATTCATAATGTATAATGCAATGTAAGCCAATTTTGACAAATAAGCAGCCACTTTACATGGCATCTCTTCCAATATCGCGTGAATTTAGATGCTGCTGCAAATCATCATTCAGATTGATTTGTAAATAAGAATACAATAGAACTGACTTTGCACCATGAGATCTTAGAAAATGAATTGTTCATTCCGACGAAAAAGCATTCAACTTTTGCGGGGTCCATTTCTTCATTCAAATTAATTGTTAGATATTAATTCTTAATATTTATGCAACTTAACTTAACTTTAAATAAACTAGTTTCCCATAAAGTGTTAAAGGTACACAGTGATTGACAATTTGGTTTTGGAATAACCTTCGACAACCAAATAACTAGATATATGCACAGTACAATGTTTTACGAAAGTCAGCAGGTACTTAGCCGTCACCGACTATATTTAACTACACGGCATCAGCCGAATGTAGCACGCTCTTTGATGCGTACGTAGAAGTAAGGCTACAATGGTGATAAAATTACTATTAGATTCCAAGAGCATCATTTTGTTGTTTGCCGACGAGTTTTTAAGGATGCCCTCTGCCGCTGCCTCTAGAGAAATAAACGGGACTAAATTCATCCTGCAGGTACTTCAGACATTAAAGGGTCCACAGCTGGCTCACTAATTTCTGTTGCATCTTATATGAGATCTTGTAGGTAAGTAAAGCAACTTAAGTTGAATTTTATTTTTTGAGATTGATTGCCAATTAAGGAAAATGAAATTAACATTTTCAATGAAACTCACCAGTCGAGTCGGCTCCACTAAAGTGGATGAATAAAAACTGTTTCAGAACGATGAGTATGCTCAGTTAAGTATAAATGTAAAGGAATTCGTGTAAATGAACGTGAAAGTAAAAGCCCGAATTTTCAATTCCAAATAAAGAAGCGCTGGAATGCCAATATCGCTCTTACCCGAGTCTGAGCTAGACAGCTAGACCAGTAGGGCAGCGAAAACAATTGTCTTTCTTTCGAAAGATTAAAGTGAGCATCAAAGTCGCCGAAACCTGCGCACGTTAGACTTCGGAAGAAATGGAATGATATGCCGAGAAGTCATAACAAAACTTAAAGACTCGCGTGGACTTTTATAGAACATATAGAACGATCCCCAGTGTCAGTTACTGTAATCATTCTTACAGATGAAAGATTCCCCATATGCGTATCTCATTCCTTAACTAAAACGGATTGACCGACCAACTCCAGATCTTTTATGAAACCATGTAATAAAACCATTGTATTGAAATCCTCGATCTTCCACTTTTGGGTTTCAATTATGTGATAATTTTGCTTTGCATTTATCCGTATTTTAGTGCTTTTTGGATTATTATGTTAAATATTAGTTTGCATATTTATGAGCATAACTAAGAGATATTGGAGCTCAAAGTTGCATTTATTTGTATGCATAAAATAGATACATGTAGAATTTTCCTGGAACGATTTTCCGTTTTGTGTAAATACTGCTCCAGTGCTCTAATAAACTCAGGGCCACTTCGGATGATCATTCAAGCGGTATTTATTGCCACAGGGAGTTATTTTCTTCCAAAGTACTGGTGAAAAATCATCCAGTTGGTTTCCAATGGAAGCTTAGAATGTTTTCTATTCATTCCAAACATTGTTAACTTATTTTTTGTTCCGTCCAATATGATGTTCAGCAGTTTATCTCGCAAATGTATGCAATCACTGGATTCAAATCCTATATTAACACACAGCTGTTTGATTCTTTACTTACTCGGACCTCCTGTCTTATTTTAAATGTGATGAATCTGATGCTTATTTCCGAGGGCAGTGGTTATTTAATTAATTGTGCATTTTCTGAGTTTGTTCCAGAGAATATAACTTGTTTTCCTGAATTTGTGCTGTTTACGGTAGATACATCATGCAATTTGTAACAAGGGGATCGTGTTAATTCTCTACTTCTGTAACGTTAACTACTGTAAACCATATTTAGGAACCTCTTTGAACCTGGAGGTAAATAAAAGAGGTTGTAAGAAAACAAACGCTGTGAGCCTGTCCAGTGATTTTATGTGTTGGAGGATGTTGGCTCCCATAGGACAACAAAAAGCAACGGTCTTATATAGTCAAGATTATCCCTGTAACGCATCTGTTCATTAAGTTTAAATGAAGTCTTCAGATTTGAAAAGTTAACATATTGTAAGTTTTAATTTGATACCCAAACAACAACAACTTCTGACAAGGTTTCTTTGCTTTTTGCCTCGGGGGGGGACCCTGTGAACGACACGTGGAGCCATTCGTCATACCATTGAAGTGTATAATTTCACTTGCTATTTCGGGATAGTTCTATTCATATAAATTCGAGGAGGTAAGTTTATCTGAATCTATTTCACCCAAAGCAACCAGAGCTTGCTTTCAGAAAAGCATAGGGTATTCTTCGGGCGTGTATCTTGTTTTTGAAAAGAATAGGCTGTGTTTGCATTTGTAGAATATTGATTGATCCTTACAGGTCTGTGTCTCCTGTGCATCTTTGGTTACCATCGTCCCCCGAGACGAGACAGAAAATCCAGCTCCTTCTGTTTATGCAGAGATATGTCAAAATGTCGAGTGTAATATAAAGTCAGGAGTATTTTTTATTTTAAGGAAATGTTAGGAATTGAGGCCCATGTGCAAGACAATACCAGCCATTATTAATTTCTGGAGAAAATAGCAGGAATTTCAGGCAAATTCAAAATTGATCTACTGTCCGAGAAAATTTCCAATAAAACCCACGGAAACAAAAAGAAAAAGAAATTGAGTTTGTATTTACTATACCGGTTTTAATGTCAATGTGCCATTCACTTCGGACGTGATATCGTTTTATCGAAGACAGCAAACAGGCTATGGTAAATTGAAAAGTGAAAACGATACGTTAGAATGAAATTAGCTTGAGCAATTCCAGACATTATCAACTCTTTTTACGAACCTATTATCTTCCATAAAGCCATCTGATCTATCAGGTGCTGTAAGTGGCTTTTGAGCGGGCAACCATTTCACCTCTTTTTCAAAGTATTCGAGAGGACAGAGGAGTGTAGTGGGAACCTGAGAATAAAACATAAAACGTAAACACTTAGTACCAGCTCTCGGCATAAATCACAAATGAAATGCTACTTCAACGTCGAGCCAGGTGTTCAGTTCAAATTGAAAAGAAGAAAACGGGACATTACTTTAAGTGGATTGTTGAAAGAGTTATCGACTTTTCAGTTTTGACAAATTAACTTTCCAAAGCTATATAAAGGTAAGTTCAAACAACACTTCCACAGCAGAATAATGCAATGTAGTTGGAGGGGACCTCAGGGATGCATTAGCTACCATAAAACAGTCGCACAGGTTGTACAGGCTCAGGCATGGCGACCATGATCTGACCCGGAGACAAAAATCAACTCATGGAGTAACGGGGTGATTTCGGGGGCGTGGCTGCTCGTTTGTTTACAGACATGTGCTGACTGGTCACGGCTGTTTGGGTTGCGACGTGGTATTAATATACTTCTACAGCAGCATAATGAAATGTAGTTAGAGGGGACCTGAGGGATGTATTGGCTACCATAAACAGTCGTACAGATTCAGGCAAGACCGGGAACTGACTAGTAATTAGAATCTCCACACGAAGACAACACTCTTTGTTTTTTTGGCCTTGATGCCCCAAGGGTTAAATTAAGGCACTTGTGGTCATTTCTGTTGTCGACACGATAACCAAAATAAAAAGCAGATCTTACTCGAGAGAATGTTGATAATGACACACGTATCTATGGAGATACTGCCTTGAATGACATCTTGTTGAAGTTTCTCCCCTTTTAATGCTTCAAAGGAGGTTGAAACTCACATTCTTCAGTACGCAGACGCTGATGTAACACTACATATAACTTGACGAACTAAAAACCAACTAAAACTACAAACCTGAACTCTCCACTGGATTATACGGCAAATGACTATTTCTGATTTTACACAAAGTGCTTTGACGGTGGGCCAAATCTTCGTTGTCTTAAATTCTATTTTCGCATAATTCGTCACCGTTCTCACGAAGTGACGCTAATGTCCAAAAAATAAATTTTTGTCGATTTCCATTTTTTCACTATTCTCTTTTACAATATCGTGCTTGACAATTTTGACATGGTCCCACAAAATCTCATTAATGTCATAATTACATTAATGTTGCCGAGGGCAAACAACTTGAAAACAGCATTTTGCTTTTTCACGCAGAGACGCAATGTTTATAACGTCCTTTGAACAAGTACAAACGCATGGCAAGGAAACGGCTGGAAAGTAGGTCAATCAGGATTTTTGTTTTCACGAAGTGACGTTAGCTTTGTTACATTCACAGCTGTGCGTGCGTAAAGACACGATCACCTTCCTTGTGATTATTATACATTGAGCAGAAGGACGTTCATGTACAAAAAAGTAATTTTCGTTTTCACGAAGTGACGTTAACCTTTACTTATTAATTTTGGCTAATTAACCCTTGTTTTTATACTAGTTACTCGGGTTAAGTGAACGATTAGACATCAGAGAATCATTTAAGGGTTCTTGTTATGTGAAGTTGTCATAAAATACTAACTTTGGTAGTTTTTATGAAGGAAAAACTTCTGCAGCGATTTTCTCGAAAACCTGTTTTTCCCGAAAAGCAACATTAGCGACACTTTGTGGTGGTGGTGACGAATTAATGTTTCTGGAAAACAGTTGGACGAAACTACAGTAGCTTAGCGAGCTGTTTAATGTCATTGACCACACCCCTGTTATTTGTAACTAGCGCTTTCATTTTGCACCTGAATTTTTTTCCCCTTCACACGGAACAGTTTATCGTCCACGCCCTCCCCTCCCCTGTACAGGACAATAATGTTGGTGTTTGGTTAGCCCTGGCAATTAAAAAGGACTCGCTAATTTGGTTAGGTTAAGCGTATTGCGATGCGATTACAGTGATAGTGCGGTATGCACTTAATTGCGCTTCAACATGGTGTGTAACGTGGAACTCAGTTGACCATGAGTACGAGGTGCCCTGATGATCTGCAATGTAAAACCCAAGCGTTTAGCTTCTAAACACAAATTAAACGCAAATCTGTAGCACTTTTTAAACAGTTTGACACGTTTATGAATAAACACATACGACATGTTTATATGCTGAACACACTTTTTTATGATAAACGCAACGCATATTTATAATTGAATTATGGATGTGTTTAGCATCTGTTTTTAAAAACTTTTTAATCATAAACCTGTTTGTATGTTTATTACTTAAGCACCTAAACGTGTGTGCAGGCACACTTTATAACATAACACTTTATACACTTTGACACGTTGATAAAGGGTGCAGTGTTTGTCAACTGCTCATTTGGGGTAACGATGACATAAACGTGTTTAAGTCATGCGCAGTGACGTGAAGAGTGGCAAGCCAACGGCTACAACTTAACAAAGGTGTGTTCAAAGGTGATAAATGTGTTTAGTCTATAAACGCTTGAAACGTTCTACGGTTTTAATAGTTGATCATCTAAACGTATTAGATTAAAACTGGCCATTGCCAGCGACCTTTAACAGTGCCCCAAGGTGTTGTATGCCGAGGAACAAGAAGATATGTGGCATTTTAGCCAAACAACAACGTAGGCATAGACGCTTCAGGCAAAAAGCCCCATGCCTTACCACTCACCACCTCCAACACTGTAGTCAACCTTTTTTTCTCCGCCTAAAACTGATGCTGAACACAAACTTCTCTCCAAGGGTCTAAATTTCTGTCCCACTCCCCCTAAGGTGAACCAGGTAGAACTCAGCCAAGTTCTCACTGAATACTTCCGCAGGATACGACTTAAAATTTTTTATCTTTGACTCTGCTCCGTGCGACCGGGTGCCCGTCCGTGTCAAAAGCACCTGGGCACTTCCTAAGAATCGCCCTCGAGACCTATGCACAGGCTGTTCATTCGCAAGTGATTAACCCTGATTATTTTCGTCATGCCCCTCATGAAAATCTCTCCACGGATGAGAGTTCAGCACTCAACTCCCTGCGCTCCCACGCTGACATCATCATCAAGCCGGCAGATAAAGATTCAGCTGTGGTAATCATGGACCGACAGCAATACATGTAAATCGATGAAGCCATCGCCACCTTAACAATCATACTGACTGTATCCCCCTCGATTCTGACCAAACTGGAACATTCTCACAACAGATTCAGCAGGTACTGGATGATATGCGTTCACGTGACCAACTATCCAAGAAAGTTCATAAGTTTCTGTCTCTTATTGATTGTAGAACCGCTAGGTTTTACCTACTCCCTAAGATCTACAAGGCAGGTAATCCAGGGAGACCCATTGTTTCTGGAAATGGACGGCCCACTGAACACATTTCATTGTTCATTGACACTTTTATCAAACCCCTCGTTCTACAGATCCTGTCAAATATCCACGACACACCAGACTTCCTACGTAAGCTGGATAACACCCAGCACAGCCATCATTGGGACCTTTGATATTTTTATACTAACATTCCCTATGAAGAAGGTATTTGTGTCTGTTGCTCTGCTCTCATGCAGACACACAACTCCCCTACATGTGATTTCGCGACGCCCTCCTTTGCTTGCCTCTTCAGCGATAACCTTGAAGAGCGTAAGCTTACTTCAGCACCATGCCGCCCTTGGATCTGGTGGAGATGCTGTATTTTTCATCTGGACCAGTGACAGTGGCAGTCGAGACATTTTATTAACCATATCAATTCTTTCAACGGGACAATTATGTTCACTTTGGATTATTCCCCTCCATCAGACCTCCACAGATCCAAAGGTACTGTCACTAACGTAGCACATCCAATGTAATATATCTTATCTCTTGCAGGGTGTGCATTGTTGAGTATGTTGGAGAGACTAGGAACACTCTCGAGAAGCGTTTTTTAGTGGCCACAGATCTACAGCCAACACCAAACGAGTAGATACCGCTGTAGGCTACCACTTCAACCTTCCTAACCATTTTATGTCTGACTTGATCTTACAGGGCATAGAATCACTTGGGTTCCGTGTTGTTCGCTTCAACAGGGAGAAGCTTTGGATCAAACGCCTCCGCACCATATAACCCCATGGCCTGAACATCCAAGAGGGAAACTACTAATTACCACTCTTTTCTTTCCCTCTCTTTGCAGATTATAGCACCGGCCCTCCCACTTGGGGTCCAGTTCCATCCCTTGTATCTTTTCTTTGATCTCTTCCCACCTTACATTCTTTTGTTCTTCAACCATGCCTTTCATGCAGTCCCCTTTATCTTTTGCCACTTTATCCAGCCTCCAGCTTTCTTGGCCTTTCCTTAAGTTCTCCTCTTGAATTCATCCATGCTTGGTTGATTATCTGTTTGCTTGTTTGTCCTGTCCACTTGTGGTTTTGCCTTTGAGAAAGATTCTGCTAGGATCGAAACGTCAGGCCCTCCATAGTTTGATAACTTACGACTGAGGTAACAGTGAATTAGTGGTTTGATATACCGAAAAAGGTAATATGCTCGCAGTGCAATCCATCGAGGCGACTGTATGGAAATTTCATGCGCATTTCTCCAAATATGTACACGTTTTGTGCATAATAATGAATGGAACAATATAACAATGGATAGTATTCATCCTCTAGCTCAAAGCATTAAACAAGAATAGAAACTTTTTGTTCCCTTATGTGCTGGACAATATTCATGGGAGAAGGTCAAGCAGAAGCACCCCCCTCATTGGTTGAAAATAGGCATATTAGTAGGAAGTGTTTATTTGTTCGTAGCGATGCGATCGTAACGCATGCATTTCATATTCATTCGTGAACCAGCGAGGTTCAGCTCCGACCAAAGGAGCCTCCGTTGCTACAAATTGCGCCCTCTCTTGGTCTAGTTCGAGCTTAGTGTGTGTAGCGTTTTCAGGCATCATATCGAAGAATATCAGCCCTCTTGAATCGTTTCCCCTTAACCGAGAATGTGAGCAACACTAACACCACCTGATTTCGTATGTCTAACATTCCCACCTGTTGATTCAACACAATATAAATCTGTGCCTGTAAATTAAATATTACAAACAGGATAGAGTGCTTAAATCCATTTATTCGTCATTACTGAATAACAAGGCATACATTTAGATAATTTACTCTTGCACCAGCTTCCAATTTTAGCAATTGAGGAATAATTTGCTGATCGTTCACATACTAAAATAAAGATGTTTTATCGTACATTCTTAAATATTTGCCAATACTTATGAACATTGTTTTCATTTGAGGCTTTTGATGTAATTCTTTAAACACCTGACATAAATCCCTTTGAAAAGAAACATTTTCTGAATACATGTACATGTACAAGTCACCTATCCAGAACTCGCTGCAAGTATCCAGTCACATTAATTTCCCCTTGTTCTATAGCACAAAAAAAAAAACAACTACCAAAACATCTGTCCTCAGAATCCAGGGTCCACTGGCCTGACAATGTACTTTCTATGAACAATCATTGCCAAATCACTGATCAAAATTTATCTTAGCGATATTGAAAACCTATATACAGGAAAGGGCACAACTCGATTAACAACGCGAATGATTTGTGCATTATTTTTTACCTCACAGCCTTCAAAGGCAACACAAGGAAAAACACACGATGAACTCTTCAAAACCCAACAGACTGAACTTTTATCAAGTTTAATTATTCTGTTTAACTAATACCTGTGATCCAGTAATGGCCATTACGTACAATTTAAAGCAAAACAATCAACGTTTTCAAGTCAGTCCCAAGAAAAATAACCACAATGACTTCATAGATTTCTTTTCCTAGCCGATATAGGCCTATTATAAGCACTGGAAGAAGAAAGCGATACCAATTTTGCTTCCATTACAACAAAATAAAGGTGATAACAATTTCTCTAAATTCCACTTATCAATTAGTCTGTATCGATGCGAAGCCTGGTTAATTTCACGCACAGTTTATTACAGCTGCGATCTCAGTCAAGGACAAAATATATTTACACTGGTTACAAAGCAGAATTTGATGCTTTCGGTGATAACATCACTCTTCTACCTCTTCACAAAAGCCTAAAATCACTCCCTGGTAGTAAAAATATTTATTTCAGAAATAAATTAGACATGGGCTACTTGAATCCTTCGAACATAAAATAAATTAATACACGACACTTCCACTTCTGCAAGTAATCCAACAAGTCCTTATCTTGACCTGAAAACACGCCACCGTAGGTGACTTTAACCCCCCCCGGCGGGTATCAATTTCCCCGCGCGCAAATTGATTCGTAATTTAAAACACGAGATTTGGGCATGGCATGTTTCTCGGCTGTACCTTTCCAGCCTGTGCCCTGATACAATATTAGTGCACTTTCCATATCGCAGCAAAGCATAAACTTTGCATCCTTGCTACATCCAGTGGACCTCCGTGAACTATTCTTACTTACTTGTTCACAAGATTTATTGATATTCCGATGAAAGTTTTCCTTGCAGTACTAAGGAGAGGTTTCCGTGTTTATGTATTTATCTGTATTTTTTAAAGCAGCCAACAACTTCTTCCCGACGTATACCAACAAATAATTTACCGTTTTCAGTCGGTACGACTGCTCACAAAATAGCTGTGAGTCCCAACTACGATCGAACAATACGGAAGAAACTAGGTTTCGAAAATCCTACATCTAAAATTTCAAAAACTCAAAATGTCATCACTACAACAACCAAATTGACTCACTGCTATTAATAATCGAGGTCCTTACACGAATTTAGCAACACTGGAAATGTTGAAATAATATACAATCGTATCATGCAATATACATGTATCTGTGGGCTGAATATTGTTGACGTGAACGCGTTGATATGAACTTTTGTTTATCTTGAATATAAAACAAACTTCAAGGCTAGCACTTTCGGGCAGGGAACTACAAATAACCTTTCCAAACTATATTCTTTTCAACAGGAAACAACCTGCTCTTCCTTTCCCTAGTCCACTCTTTCACGAAGTCAGCCAAAATGACCTCCCTATCCCGTGTTTTTGTTCCTTCCACCCCAAATAATGCTGCTGAAGCTAACTGGTTATTTAAGTGCCAATTATAATTACCGCCAAGCTTCATACTGTGGCATTTCGCTGTAAAAACCTTGTTTATTTATAGCGGATGCTAGTCATCATATGGCTATACTATAGGTATTAAATTCATTAAGTTACACTCTAAAAAGGATCAATCAAATCTAATTGGAATTCAGCAAAATTTGACTGGCTCTTCGGGGTCCGCTGGGTACAACTGGAAATTAGCCAATCTGACTAGATTTTTCCAGTCAGTTCATTGATGTTTCAAAAGGCACCGAATAGGAATCTTGTCAGGAAGCATGATTTGCCAACGTCAGCGTAGGTGTTTGAGTGAATCCGTAGTCAATTTTGAACAACTAGCAAAATCAGTCAACATTTTGACTAAGTTGTTTTAAGAGTGTAGCTGTGCTACAATCGCCTGATAAACTTAAAGCGCTTAGATAATATTTAAAATAAAATGCCATTGGGATCTTTCTCGCTGTTATAAACGTGGCACAAAATACTTTTTTTGGCGAAAAGATAATCTGCTTAATAACAGTTTTATGACCAAAAAAAGGAATGAAGTGATCGATACAACGACCATCGGAGCGCTCTCCGTTCACTACCGAGAGAGAGAGAGAGAGAGAGAGAGAGAAACGTTGCCCATTTGTTGTCGTCTCTACCATCGACATACAAGCCTGCGGGGAATCATTGCCCTCCGAGGCTGACGCTGGCATCTACTGATCTATGTTACACGGCCTGTTTGCCGGTGCAAGGGTTTCTTAACGGCTCGCTTGCAGATGCAGTCTTCATGATCCTGTTCATCATGATACTGCAATGAAAGCTTATTTTTCACCATCCCGGCAGACACTAGCAAAGCCCCCGGGTCCGGCTGGAAACATGAATTTTTTTCATTCACATTAAACAGCTGTTAAACCCTACCCCCAAACAATGAATAAATAAAAAAAAACAAGATTTATATAAGGTTTTCAACGAATAATTAGTTTTTGTTAAAAGAGCCCCGGTGTGTTCGTGTTCTAGTAATTGGATAACAACCCCCAACAGTCTTTCGTGATGATCTTTACTTGCTAATTTCTCAATAGAAAAAGTTCCACATGTTCAATGTACTGCTCTACTTTCTTTAAGAGCAAAAGACAATTTGAAGACATAAATCCCCCAAACGGAATAGGTACGTATGAGGGAACCTACTTACAACACTTTTAATGCAAATTACTCCAAACCTATGTAATTTACTTACGTTTTGCCATAATTTTCAACCAATATCATACAAAATACGAACAAAGGGAAAAATTAAGCGTCTTCATTGACGCAGAACACGTTCTATGCTCAACAAGTACATCAAAGTGAAACATTTACTTTACCACCCTTCACTACTGTTATTTGGTTAATCGATAACATATTGCACAAACATCGGTAGTGTACATTTGATAGCTGGGACTGCTGTGTCCTGTTATATGGACTATTATTTACACACAAAATAACAAATACATGTAATCATCGCAGCCCCTAACACATTCCCCACACACTCTCTCACACCAACAACGGAGACCCAAATTTAATTACAATGTGTTTTTTTTTTGTTCCTGCCAGTGTTGACACGAAACGATGGAATCATTACAGAAAAGCAACCCGTTTCTTTCAGAAGCGATGTACGAATGTCAACATTAAAGTGACACTGTAATAAATTTTCGCTCGAAAGTGCGTTTATTACTTTTAACTGAATAAACATCACATTGATATTGCTCTGAAGAGTCCATTTGTGACCGTACAAATTAACCTTGAACATGAGCTGCAACTGGAAAATTAGTTTCAGAAAGGATTAACCACGTGCTATTTGCTCCATTCCATGCAATTGGGAGAAAATCCTGGGTACGTTGCAGAGAAATGGCTGGCTATGTCGGCATAGGTGACATGTATTTCAGTCCCAACAATAGGCTAGTGTGGCGATAGAGGAACGCAATATGCCCTATGAGAGAACTGGGTATGCGATGTTGTAGGTAACTTGCCTTGTCCATCTTTGCGGATTGAATATCCCCCCAAAAGAATCTCCGATTTTGTTCAGGTATTTGTGTTAATGACTCCCTGATGGTGAACAAGTGCCCGTCTAGTGCGTTCCAAATAGTACTAAATGGTGCCTTCACACTGAGCAAAATACCATGCGTCGAATGTACGCAATACGGTATTGAAACATTGTACATGTACATGTGTGCACGGATCTAGCTGTTGTGGGGATCAAATTTATGACGGTAATTTGTTTTTGGCACAACACTAGCGCCAGTCCTAAAGGCAGGTGATCAAACACAATCAACACCTGACTCAAGTTCGCTGTTTTTTGCTTCCAGTAAGAACTGCTAACGGACTCTCTTGTAACTTAAATATGGCATCGTGCGTATCTATGCCACTTTTAGGGTAACTACCACTGCTGAAGCAGAAAAATTGAAACTTCGATATGAAAACGAATTCTTCCCGCAAACGACGGGAAACCTCAGAGAAGGCCCAACATCGGCTCTTCTTCGTATGGGTCTTACCACTGATTCACACTTGTATAAATAACCGATTGGATTTATTTAGTTATTTGTTCATTCATTTGTTTTAACTTTAACCGAACACCTCCAAGGATACCTGCCAAGTCCTCTGGTTTGTTATTAATATTCAAATCTCTTCTTCTGATTCAGGTGGAGCACGTACAGCCATGTTGGACATAAATGTAACTGACACAGTAAGAGGGGGCGTGACCTCATTGGTTCGGACCATTCCAATCGCCCAGAATTAGAACAAAACAAAGATAGAGAGAGCTTATTCCCACCCAAATGTAACTGGGCCTGAGCCCAGTCCAAGAAAGCCCTATCCTTGACTCGCCCCTGCGCATGTAAATGATGGGCCCCTTTGATGGCGCCAGACTGAGGAAAGCATCGGGTTGCGCTTGTATATAGTGGCTTTCACTGAACAGTGGCTCCGTGCAATAATTGTCACATTACCGCCAATAGCATGGGCCACCACAATAAACCAGTGACGGTGTTACCATGGTCAACGGATTCTTTCCGCTGGACCCCTACAGTTAAGTTACTACCTACACACGGCGCCTTTTTCCTACCGCCTTTCACCCAACACATCACTCTGCCTGCTCAACCTCACACACACCGCAACGCTTCAACTATGTACACAAGCAGAAATTACCGCCCAGCCAGCACTGGGTGCAGCGGGGGAACACTAAAAATCGATGGTCGGCACTCCATGTAGGAAGTTTCCCGCTGACGAAGAAGGACATTGATCGAATCTACTCTCTGATTGAACTGCCCGAGGCCTCGAGGCTCAGAATCGTGTCTTCGCAAGAACTCTGCATAAGACTTTTGATTCATACCACTTTAGATGCACGGCTGATAATTTCGTTTCCCCGTGGCCAGGGTACAAAAACATGTCTCTCGTCCACACAATCGCTGGTCAGCACACGTTGGGGGTATTCGTATCGGTGAATTATATACAATTATCCGGTTACTGATAGGTGGAAGTGTGCCAACTTTGCTGTGTTTCAAATCCCTATGTGCAATAAAATGGGTGTTATGGTGATCATATCTTATGATGTTGACATCGTTCAGTCTTCAGCGATGAAATTATCCACCAGTGAGAGCTAATGGTCACCTTGTCTAAAACTTTCTATCGCCCGAGTAAATGTTCACCAATGCTGACTTCTGAACTTACCAGTATATCCTTATACTTTCAGATGATCTTTGAAAGAATCCACAGCAAAAGTAATTGCTTGTTTCAAGACTGTGCGCAGGGGGTTGGTATCGACAAGTGGTTTAACATGAGTATCGCCCATGCGGTTTAAATCACGATCTTTTTTGTAAGAACCTGTGATGAAAAGGACATTTGCGAAACTGGTTTTGACAAGAAGCCCCTGGAACAGTGCTTTGCAGTGCTGAGATACAACTTAGTGATTCTGAATTGGTGTGGTGCCCAAGTAAATGTTGAATAATAATGTATAGTGGCCAATAGATAATGTGTACTTCCCGCTATGCCTGAGTGCAGGTACAATGTTATAAATTATTTGAATTCTGCACTGACAAAATGCTGTGAACATACTTTCAACCGCTCCGTCCTGATGGAGTGATAGTTGATGGAGCAGATGGCTCTCTCCTTACGCCCAATCGGGAAATATTAGTGGAATGTGACCGTGCAAAGCTTGATCGGATGGAGCTCCTCAGGCCGTGCGAATTAGACATCAGCGGGTACCAGTACCTCCGTCCGGACTTGGTGTTGTTGCGCCGGGGGCTTCTCCGCATCATCCGGCAGGACTCCGGAATCTGGCGGACGTACTTTCTGAAGTTAGCGTTGAAGACGATGTAGATGAGCGTGTTGAACATGCTGTTGCTCATGGCCAGTGCCTCCACGATGTAATAGGCGTTCTCGAAAGCGCCAAACGTCTCTCTTGTAGCTGAATCGTACACAAAGTCCCGGATAATGCTGAAGGCGTAGAAAGGCGCCCAACAGATTGCGAAAAGCGCCACCACGATGATCAGCATGCGCAGCGTCTTCCGCTTGGACGACTCGGCGGCCAGCTCTTGTTGGACGGTCACGTGACCCCCGGGCACCTCCCGGAACCAGAGCTTCTTGGCGATGATAACGTAAGCAATGGACATGATGGTCAGGGGCATAAGAAACTCAACGATCGCCAAGAAGAGTGTGTGTGCCTTCAGCAGGGTCGGATTCGTCCAATAATCCCCACAACGGCTTGAAATCTTGCCCCACTCGTTGGTGATCGTTTTGCTGTCGGTGAAGACGGCTGTTGGGATTACGACAATCATGGACACCAGCCAGATGCAAACCAGAACTACGCCGGCTGTGCACTTTGTCATGCGCGGTTTCAGGGGATGCATGATGATCACGTATCTGGAGCAGAAAAAAAAAATCAATTGCAAATAACGTGAGACGGGACATAAATTGAAATCTTGTTTTACAAGGTATTACACCCCGCAGTAGCAATCTTTACCTATAGTTTCATATCTTTCAAGGTCATTCCTTTTAACAAGTTGCTTTATATTCAATTTTCACAGTGTCGGATGAGATGGGCATCGCCTGAAGCATTTTAATCAATTACATCAGCCTCAGAATTGAGACAATGTTGTCCCTGGTGTCCCCTTTCAACATCGATTTGGGAAGTCATCCCATTCTTTTCGAATCGTGAAAATTGTGCCTAAGAAAACTCATCATAAACTATAAAGCCTCCATTGTAAATATGCCTGGGCATTTTGCTACTTCGGATGCTGCATGGGTGTTGCGACTGTCAGCTTCGAGTTTGTCCAAGGGATTGTCTCCAGTTACGTGCCGTGGGGCTGTGGGCTGCCCTATAACATTACGTAATCAGCGAAATTTGTCATTTTCTGAGAGCAGCACACGACGCCAATTTGCAACCTGCATTCCTCCCTGGTGCCCTGAATTCAGTCGAGTGATCCAACACACCCCGTTATTTTAACAAGATAGTCTCTTTTCTCATTAGCAGCCTCGAATGAGCTCAGAATGTTAAATGGCGGATATGTCACGCGGCAGTAAGCAGTCAACAAACTAGCCACTATCTAACAAGGTCCGAAGTAAGTTGACCGATTAATCTACTCAAGTTTGTACACATTCTCAACCGACCGATGTGTACTTCAGACATCATCCTACAACGACAAGGAATGGTACATGCAGCAAAAAGACCATATCTCACACGTATAGGCTCCAGAACTGATTGGTATTACCCTTTTGCGCCTGCACCTCCAGTGATAAGAGTTTTGAAGGCACAGACACTCAGCGCAGATCTCGGATTTAAAGTGGATATGGATTACAAAAAATAAGCTTCAAGCCTTTCGGCCCTGTGACTTGCAAAGACTTAATAGCGATGTATAAATGCATGAAGTACGTTCACAACTATACTTCTCTTTCAAACCAAATCTGGTTAAAGGTAAAAACTGACTTTCATCCCAGAAACTTGGATATACGACACAGTTATTGACGGGAAACTTATTTTGAATTGTAATTCTAGCATTTTCTAAAGACTGAAGGATGGAGGTGTACTTGTACTTCATCGTTTTTAAAGCTTGTGTGGATTTTATTGATAGACCATATCTATTTACTGCACAGTGTTAACTCCTATCGACACTTCTAGCATTTATTACTTGATTATGAGAATACACTGTTTCTTTGTTCTTCGTATTAATGTGATCTTAATTGATTTCTTTGTTGCATTTTAGAAAAATCTGGCTTTTTAGTAATATATACATTCTCCTACAGCTTGGAGAATATTGGTTCGTGATAAAAAAACAAACAAACAAACAAACAAACAAACACCCCAACACCCCAACAAACAAACGAAAAAAACAAAAATGAAAACTAATTAAAATACTCAAAACTCAGTTGTTTTATAATGTACGCAATTTTTTTTCACAAAAATGAATTGTTTGGGAGCTTTGTTGGCTACTTCAATACCACACACAACTCTAGTACAGTTTTTTTAACATGGCCGAGGGTGCATTTCTCCCAAGATGACCAACATTAATTTTGTTCCAATATCACAAACTGAATTGGGGTTTTGAGGTCGTCATCCGTCAACTGTTGCCCGTAGGCAACTAGTTTTGGCACAAGATCGGTCTCGGATTGTATGGGTCTTGGAAGCCAAGGGCCAGCTTGCGCTATGCAAGAAATTAAATTATGTAGGTCTTGCTGGTTCAAGACCTTTAATTATTTTTCCATTATTTGATAAGTTTTGTTTGGAATGCTTTAGTTGAAAATCAGTGCAGACCTTAACAACCCAATTCTCAAAGGCATTTGGAAGGGCGGGAAATTTCATGCGTATTCCAAATACCTGAAAAATTCAACCTAATACAGGACAAACTGGTAGGTTTAAAGCAAAAACTGATGTTATTCTGCTGGCCTACTTTTGCTTTTTTTGTCCTGGACTGCACCATAAAGCAGTGTCTACCACTACTGGCACAGATTCAGCCTTAGAGAGTAAATTTTGTACTGGCTTTCCGAGAAAAGGTTATTTCCATTTTCAGTATGTGCCTGCACGCAAGTCATGTACTTGACAGAAAAATACGGAGACGATAGCCAATCGCTACCTTACTCATATTTTGTCCAAGTATCAATTAACTGTCTGCACATACTGGAAATGCCAAGGTTAGTCAAATTTTACTCGAACTCATCAACGATACCTGCCAATTGTCAGAAGACCTCTGCTCAATACATTTGTGTTCATAAAATTTCTTTAACGGGAAACTTTCCAATATTTTAAAACACCAGGAATGAAGTGTGTGCACACACCGCCAGCAGAAATCACAGAGTCAGAAGTGGATCCGTTCGCTATAGCAACTCAAACATGCCTAATGCATTCCTTTGTCACCCACGCATTTGTCCTGTTTTTTCTTCTTCTTAAACTATTCCATGTGATGTCTCGTAATTTGAACTGTGATTAGCTGGGGGTATTCGACATCTTTGATAACAATATGTGTCAGTGTAGGCTTATCCTAGATGGTTTCCAAATTGGAAGTTGCATAGTGTGCAACAGGATGGATTACCGTCAAAAGTAGAAACCTTTTTGGAGGTCTAATGTAAAGAGTAATAACTTACCTATCAATAGCGATCGCCAGAAGTGAGTTGGTCGAAACATACAGTGAAGTGAACTTCAGGTAGTTGGTTATGACACACATGGCGGTACCAAACGGCCAATGTTGGTAGAGATGCTGATAGAAGCTCAGAGGGGCGCAGATGACAGCCACCAAGAAATCAGACAGGGCTAAGTTACCAATCAACAAATTGGTGGTCGTGCGCATGCGCCTGAAGCGGTAGATGACGTAACAGAGAAGCAAGTTCCCGATGCCGCAGACGCTCATCATGAGGGCGTAACTTGAGCACAAGACGATCTTGGCCGCAATGTGGACATGTGGGAAGGAAATCGCTGGGGTGTTTCCATCGTTAATATAATAATAGGGATCAATTTCTTTACTCGGGATGCTATTGCCATCACCGTCCGCCGTCGTAGACTGGTTCCCAAACTGAGACCATGTGCTGTTGCCCATGACCGCGGCTTGGTCCAGAACCTCGGGAGGCTCGAACACCATGGTTAGAACGTACCAGTTCTGTTACTGACAAAATCCTGAATGAACTCTGGGTTTAGTTGATCACGTCTTTATAGCAAAATCCCGCGAGACACAGCGACGGCATTGTTTCCACTTATAAACTCACCCACTTTTATTTATGTCGTAAGTGGACTGCAGTCAAGCAGGTGTTAACCAATAACAAATTGATCTCATTTTGACCAGCGGCTTTGGAAAGTGCGCCCCCGTCTCCTTTCAACATCTAGTCCAGACACCGTTGATTCATGAACCGGCCACTTCAACACACGGCCAGTGTTGCTTTTGTCTTCAAAACCTTAGAGCCCGCCCCGAGAGACACAGATGTGCACAGATGTGAGGCTCTCCTCGCTTACGAACCCCGGGGCTTGAACTCTTCGACGCGACTCCCATCAAAACTGCGGCAGGTTCTTCACCAACGGCCGAAATTGGCTGTGTTCAGTAGCTGGGAGGACAAGAATGAAACAGAATCGCTCGCAAAGATTGTGTGATAAGGTGAAGTGCTCCGGTGATGCCAACGGGAGGAAATCGGCGGGTATCAGTTCTGATTTAACACTAACCAGCCGACTTAGTGATGTCGTCAAGTAAGCAACAAGTGTTTTTCCTTTTAGATCTCAGACTCCCCCGACAGTGTTTCAAGGCTTACTTTGAAGTCTCCAATTAAAGGCCGAATTGCTGCACCATTGCGCTTTAACCGCACTAAAACGCAACAGGAACACTGTTCCGCATTAAAAATGATACAGGGTCCACTGTTGTCTTTTTCGACACGAAGGCGGTGACTGCAAAAAGGAACGAATAAAACAAGACAAGTGAATAATTTGTTAGGCCTGTACAATCCTGTCAAGGGGAAGGGTCGGAGAATCCGTACTGTCTTCGGGTACAAGGGCCCTTACGTGTGAACTAGACTAAGCGCGAGCGTTGGACACGTGCTTTGGTTCAGCAAGTGATCTCCTTGCGAGGGGGAAGCTTGGACAAGTGTCGTATCAAGCCAAGCACACTATTCAAAGGCGTGTGGTAGAGAATATACTGGTGTGCATTTTAACCGGACGCGTCATGGAATGCTTATCATCGACCAGTGCAGTCGTCCAAGCCATGCGTTGATACTTGACCAGGACATTAACTCAAAGACAGGATATTTTTTTGGTCATTTCAATGAGGTTTTTACAAAAAGTACTGTCAGTGTTGGGGATCAGTGTTAGGCAAAGTTACTTGCATGTAGCAAATGTAAAGACGAAAAACAAAAAAAAACGTCATTCTCTATTAGAGTTAAACACTGTCTTTATTTCTTAAATTTGTCATTGAGTTGTAGAGTATTTTCGGAGTCATTGTTCCATTCCCTCCCATAAAACATGATGTGCCCGATATAGTGTCTTATACGATAGGAACACAGATGTTTGTCAATGCAGGGTATTGTGAACAAAATTAACCATACAGACTGTTGAACTTTAAAGAGCTAGATTTATTTCATATACTTTTAACTAAACAAAATGCAATGGTGGTGAAACAAAATGTCAGATCATCCTAAAACACTGCACTGAATGATGTTTGTTTGTATTAAAAGTATCAATCACACTCTTAAGCAGGAGTCGGTAAGTCCTTTGAATGCAACCAAAATACTAAATTGGTAACACGAACACATGTAACAAGCATCGTTCTGATTAGCTGAACAAACACAATAAGTACCTGTCAAATTTTAGGTGCAGTGGGCCTACTAGGTCATTAGTATGACAACGTCAAAGCAGTTTCCCGGAAACAACTTATGATCTCTTGCACCAAACACAGCATCTCGCTGCATATTGAGGCTTGTTCTAGACCTTTGTGGGCTGCTTCAACTAGACCGCCACGAGTGTTTCACCTTAATGGACTCGCTGAGTAAACAGTTGTGCCAAGAGCAAGGGCTCCGCTTCGTATAGGGACACATCTACGTTTCAAATCCTCGACATGACAAGCATCACCAGAGCCCTAGGAGGGCATATTGTCTGCGACTTTCCCTTACTACTCACCTGATCTATCTCCGGAAGAGGGCAACGAAGGAGAGCTCCCAGAGAAAATGTGACCGCTCGGAAAACGCAAACACGACAGCCCCGTTAACAGCACCCTATTTATTACTCATCCGTTGATCTTGGCTAAATTAATATCCAAAGGGTGTCGAGGAAAGCGTTACTGACACAGCAATTCATGATCAGTGGGTACGGGCGCTCATTGCAGGCATGTCTCGCAAGTTTTAATAATTTCCTGTGTGTATACGCCAGGGGCCGGGATACCTACTACAGATACAACCTATTGACGTTTCGATCGACGAACTCTTACCTTGTGCAGGCAGATCGTCCGTCACTCCGTCAGTGGCTTGCTCGGCGCAATGTAGGGTGACACTTTATCGGTATAAGGCCGATTCATTCCATCAGTCGACCCAGACGGGTGGAGTGATAGGCACCGGTCAGCAGGACAGCAGGTGGAACGAGGGCGGAGGAATCTCCTCCGATGAAAACGATGAAGTGTCTCTACCCAGGTGCCCTCCCTGCAATGGTAATCATGAAAGCGGGAGCGATCTCCGTTTCGTCTTGGTTAGCCGTATGAAGGAACTTAGAGACTAGTCAGCAAAATGGTCAAACCTGAGAGTGAGGAAAAAATTGCAAGGAAAGACTGGTTGTCACATACTGAAACAAATAAGAATATTTATAATCTTTTTTCAATTATGATAAAGGTGCTAAAGAAGATGGCCAACGGGGTCCTTATGCTGTGACGAGCCGCCACAGACCGACAACTATTATTTTTTATGCGCGTCATAATTCAGTTAAGCATTTGAGATCAAGGCAGTACTTAGAGGATTAGGGTAGCCCAGGTGGACTCCCTGACCGTACTACGTTATGAAAGGATTCCATGACATGAAGGGTCGAAAACGGGCGAAAAATTTTGTAACTAAAAATTTCAACACTTCTACCCTAAGAAGCCAATTTCACGCCTTTCAATCCTACGCGTCCTCATTTCCACAGCTGATGGGTTTTGAAATTCGAAACATCACCACAACAGACAGAAACAGGAAAATAAACTCAGACGTGACGTTAATTCTTGTCATTGCTGTGTAGGCCTACTATTTTCAACCGTTCTCCGTTGATGCAGTTCGCACAGTGTGCGCGCACAACTATTCGGTGCCCGAGATTCCAAGCTGCGAACACGCACACGCACGCGCAATGTGGTTCTCAGCCCCGAGTGCATGCATCATCGTGGCGTGCGTACGTGACGTGACGGTAGGCCTATTATGCAAGCTTACACTTCAGGGACACTGAAGTTTAGGATTTGAAAAAAATCCTGGTCATTTTTGCAATATTTACTTTGCAAGCCTTTTATAATGTGTCAACAGTTGGACTTTGCAAAAGACAGACCAATGGTGTCCCCAAAATTCCATGAAAACTCCAGGCACCACCCAGCAAGGCTTGAGCAAATTTTGAGTTGTACCGTTTGGAAAATGAAACTTTCTAAATTTTTGACGGTGGGAGATTTTTTTCTTTTTCTTTCTTTTTTAATTAAATATAGCAGGCACAGATAAGTATGATTTATGTATATAACAAATATAAAAAGACTTCTGTGACATGACAGTCAATAACGGCGATTAACTACCATGATCCCTTGGTCCTTAATTTAAAAACGAAAAATCACATACGTGTACACTGTATTTCAGATTAATCGCCTTTTCTGAAATGACAAATCTTTAAGGGATCCACTGTCCGATAACCAGACAGAGCTCCAGCCTGACCATAAACTTCAGCCTCATCAAACAATTCAATGAATTTTAAGACAAAGATGTTCCCATTCACTGAAAAACGTTGATAAAAATATCGGAAGGCAATTGCTGAGGATTTCAAATAATACTACACGTGAAAGTTTCCAACTGCTTGATAATTGATGTGAGGCAAATTGAAGTAGGCTTACGAGAGACTCATGGTCTTAAGAGAAAATTTCCGACTCCCCCCTCCCCGAAAAAACAAGTATGCCACAGACCAACTCGCTTGGCAATTTTTAAAAGTCAACATAGTTTAGCTATCTGCAATTACACATTCAGTCATGCTTAAAATATTTTTGATCAAGAGTAAAAAGGGCGATCAACATCACAATTTGTGCGTGATCACTGCTCACCACACGTGCGCTAGCACGTATTCTCGACCTTGCGTGTTAATCATGATCATCACGCCCGCAATCTAATCCTTTTTATACCTCATTTATCAAGATATTACTGTTTCATTTTAATAGAAATCAAATCTCTATAATATTGTGTTATTTATGCATCTTCAATCAATAAAAATCTACCAACAAATTATATACACTTCAAAGAGATATTGTTGATGAATTCCCTTACAAGCACCCTGCATATTATAAACCGGACACGCTGACCAAGGTTAGTTATCCTTATAAAATAGCAGGTTGTTTCGCAAATTTATGTTTATAAACCCAAATACTAAGCAACATGTTAGGGGTAACAATGAGGGTTATCAAATTGGTCAGTCTCAGTGAAGTTCCCGATCCGACAAAAAAGGAAATGTATTTTTTATCGACAGGTGGGTTAATTATTTTTTGAAGCCGGGTACCAGTCATGGCACCTGTGTAGCAGGCAGGGCATGCGTGCAACAGACCTTCACCGGAACTCGTGCACGCGTAGTGCGTGCACGCAGCTCGGATTCCTGTATGCGCCTGCACTTTGCACTTTGAGAACGGATGAATTACGTCTAAAACCGTGAACAACAGTAACGTTGTCTCTCACTTATTTTCTTCGATTTTGCTGTCTGTGGTTTGTTCTGAAATTCCTGAACCCCCAGATGGATAGATAAGGTCATGAAGAACATGTAAAAATGAAATTATTTTCTTCAACAAGGTACATCGTGAACAAATTAGAACCAGTTTTTGGACGTGTTGTACAAGTCTTAGAACCTAGACGTCGGTCCTAATGTAATGAAGACTGGCATCCAACCTAGACTAGGGTTAAGGTTAAGAAGGCATGTTAGAAAATACCCAAAACTCCTCCTAGAAAGTGGCAAAGTGACGGCGGGGGTATGATGCATCCTACACTCATTTTTAAAACGCATACAAATAAAATAAAAACACAAAAAGAAGGTTCAGAGTTATGTCCATATTTGAATTGGAGAACAAAAGTATAATGGAAAATATTTACAATACACGGGAAGGTCAGACAAGAAACCGAAGCCTGTACTTGGTTCCTCCTGCAAAGACATTGTATGTAGTTGATGTGATTTAGGATTAAAAGAAATATTAATGATACAGAATGGATATTAATTATTAACACACAAATTCATGATCTGATAAGGTTAATAAATAATAAACTACCGTTTACTCCATGCAGTGAAATCCTGTATGCAGTTCCATGTTTAATTTAAGTATTTGCGCCGTCATGGCAAAAACGAATAACTATTGAGGAGACACCATACCAACTCATGAGAAGTCCCAGCCATGCCAATGCCCGCAATACACGAGAGCTATACATGTATATATGCTGAGTTCAACGTCATTCATGGCCGTTTGCTCAGCACGTTACTCAGTTTGTCTGTTCAAGTTTTGCGTCCTTTTTGCTTCGCGAGGAAAACACTACTTATTGGTTTATGGAAACTCACCGCCTTGAGCAGGTAACCTGAGCTACATGTTGAGGAAAAACAATACCAGCAAATGAAAGCAGACATTCTGTTCACGTGGTTTCAAGATGGCGGCCCTCGGCACAAAATGTCAGCAACGTTTTCAGGGACTCTGTTTTAGCGGATAAGCTCGTTGATTTATGGCTGGATATTTCCTAATTTTGAAATAAGGTGTAGCCGACAAAGACGAATCAACCAGCCTTTTGTCATCCGCAGAGCTATGGGCTCACAGGAACTGCAGTCGCTGTCACTTGAAATTCCCCGAAACCATGGTGTGACACAGAGCGTTGAGAATTGGCCCAGAAACGACACAGGTATCCTCCTGCACATGCAACTGAACGCACTTTGCTTCACAAGGTCACATTTAGGTTCTCAGGCATAAAAACACTGGTTCTGCACAAAGTATTCTTTTGCCCCAAACCAGCAGTCCGCACTTGTAATTATATGGCCGATAAATTCCGCTTATTAGCTTTAATATAAGTTCAAGTGAATAATTAATTCAGAGCGATCGTTTACAATGCATACAATGCCACATTTCAGGGACAAGTGGATTTTTATTGTTGGCAATAAGGTAATGGTAATATTAAAATTATTCATCTCTCAGAAACTCATTTCCATAAAAGTACCGGAACCTCAGACTAAAAATCCAGCTAGCTGCTTGTAGTCTTGAGTGATATTAATTTCAAGCGCAATAAAATGAACAAATTCAAGGATAAGGAAAGGAAACTCCGCTACATAACTCTTAGATTTAGATTTTTTTACATTCAAGTCAATTTCATCTCTTGATACTTCGTCTTTCGTCTCGAGTGCTAAATAACTTTAGCTCTTTTAATGCTGGAGAACATCAACTTTAAAAAAAACCCACGCACTCCATTTTGACATAAGGTAAATTTTAAAACTGGCTCGAGACGTGAAATGAAATAGGATTGCCATGGTCCCCCAAAGAGCCTTGATGGTCTGCTTTTGTGACTGTACTGGTGACAGTGTGAGTGTAGGACTTAGGCCTATTTGCCACTGTCAAATTTACAACAGCCATGGTAAAAAGTTGATAATTTTGTTTTATAAAGACTCATAAGTGGTATTTACGCGAAATAGATATCGTTCAGACAGGAAGCGGCCTTTGTTGTTTTCAACTCAAAGACGTGATTCTGCTGCCATGGCAACCAACTCCATATTGTTAAATGTTGATCAATGCGTCATGAGTGAATTGCGGTACTATCCGTTAATGGGATTTGTTAAAAGAACTGAAGATTTACGACTAAACACGCAAAGCGAATGACGTCATGATGCTGAACGTGTAGCGGTAGGTCTTCTGGGACCGATGGCCCAAGCCAAGTTCTTCTATCTTCATATATGCCTGTTAAAAAGATTACCTGAGCCATACTCAAAAGTACGCAGTACCTTTAATTACCGCTCCCCGGACCAATGTAATGACTTGTTATTATTTCCTGGCAAGTCTTTGTTTGTGGGTGTTACGTGGCAAAAATTACTTCCTGTTCCAAGAGTGCATTCCCGCTAAAACGGACAACAACCGATGGCTGGATTTTGACGCAATTGCCCTACGTAACATGTTGATTAGATCGCTCGCCTTACTATGTACACCATGATGCGTCGAATTGCCACAAAACACCGACGTTGGAAAGAGGAGTATTCCAGTAGTCAGACATTCTTAAAATGCTACAGTATGAATTGTCTTTGGAACGTTTAAAATCTGGTAGTAAAACACACCACTGCTTTTCGTCATTACAAAAACCACGAGCAATTCTTCAACAAACCTTGAGCAGCATAAGAAGGCATTTGATATTTTTGAGGAGGTACTCATGAAGTTAATGCCGAGTTTTGGAGGCAGCAGCCTCAAATGTCACTGCACTCATTTTGTATGATCAATAAAAAAATTACAGTTGATACCTCTGAGGCAGAGACATCGGGTGTAAAACCTAGAACCGTGACTTTTTCACCAACGACTAGGAGCC